GGGAGGTGGAGCAAAGCCCGGGTCCTGTGGTAGAGCAGGTGGGGCGCTGCCGGTTGGTCCCGCAGCACCTCTCCTTGATACTACTGGACCAACCTGGCAGCACCCCAGCTGCTCTGCCCCAGGAGTCCTGATTCAGCCGCTCTTGTCAAAGAGTGTAAATAGAGATTCTTCGTATAATTAAAAAAATCAAGCTTAGAAATATGTTACTGGAAAAATAATCACATATTTAAGACACAAAGATATATCAGATATTAATGTCTGAATTAGATTCTTCAATGACTAGTATATTGTATTATGAAGCTGAGGTAGTATAAAAGGTTTTGTCATACTCGGTCTATATATACATTTTTCAAGTAGATTAGGATTAGCAGGAAATATTAGGGAGGTTTGAAGGTCCAAAGAAAGAAATTCTGATGATAAAGCTGACTTTTCTGTAGCTGCTAAGAGTTATTTCAGAGCCGATTACATTTTTGTTTTAGATCTCTCTCATGATACTATTGACTTTGTCCTACTGTTGTGTGAAAATGACTACAGGTTGAACCTTTGTAAACCAGTACTCTCTTGTCTGGCAACATCTGTGGCCTAAAAGGACCACTGATCATGCAGGACCAGAGAGTCTCGGTGGAGCACCCCAGCAGGGCTGACTGGCGGGCCCCAGAGCACAGCGCACCCCAGCGGGACTGATCGGCAGGCCATAGCTGGGCTGCACTTCATGCCCCAGCAGGACTGCCTGGCGTGGTAGGCAAGGAGGGATGGGGACCAGCAAGGCAGTGGGGCCTGAGACGGGTTCAGGACTAGGGGGCTGGTAGCAGAAGGCGGCAGATATGACCTCTCCTAATCTGGCAAAATCCCTCATCCAGGACCGGTCAGGTCGTGAGGGAGCCGGACTAGGGAAGTCCAGCCTGTAGTCACTAAGTTACAGTGTCAGTCTTTGACAAAATGTAATTTTTAAATATTACAGTAGACTTTCAGTATATCTAAGCTACCAATTAATGAATCTAAAAACAGTGAAGTTTTAACTGATCCTCTATAAAGCTCTATTTGCTATCACTCCCTACACAGAAATCTACTCTTACCTTTCTGTTGTTTAAAGCAGATTTTAACTTATTACACAGATTCAATGGCAGTGATATATTAGCTGTGGAATATGAAATTAGTATTTAAGTTCTGCTAATATAATTGCTTCTGTAGCAGATGTAACCAAAGGCAGTCATGTGACTAAAAAGAATGAATCTTCTACCACTGGTGTTAGCCTCACTTGGGGTTTTGATTAGATCAGTGGTGGAAAAAAGAAATCCCTCTTTACCTTTCTGTCTCTTTGGCCAGGTCTTCACTAAAAATTAGGTTGAGCTATCTCTGTCACTCGGGTCTGAGAAATTCATACGCTTAAGCAACATAGTTAAGTCAGCGTAGCACCTGATGGATGTATATATTTGTCTACTGCCTTTTTGAGGAGATGGATTAACTCAGGGGCAGGAAGACATTTCTAGTGAAGACATAGCCTTATCTTATAAAATGGTGAAAAGAAGGAAAGATAAGGTTTACCACAGGCAGCAGTAGAGCAGGGCTCAGGAAGACTGCCTGCATGTGCTGATACCATGCTGTTTCCAGAAGTGGCCATGGCATATGTCTGCATGCCCGCTGGGCATAGGGGAGTAGTGGGTCTCCATGTGTTGCCCATGTCTGCAAGGACCAGCCAATGAGAGCTGTGAAGATGATACTGGGGGGTAAAGATAGGAGGGGGAGCCACACAGTGAGCCGCCTCTAGGAACCTGGGAAGCACAGAGACAGGACAACAGCAGGAGCAGTGGGGTGCCATAGCAGGCGGGCAGCAGCATGGCTGGGCTTTAGCTGCCCCCTCACCATCTCCTGGATACTAAAAGAGCTGGAAGTGGCTTCAGAGCTATAGGTTGCTGACCCATGTCAGTTGCTGGGAATCATGACAGGCCAGACAAATGTTAGGCAGGCCGGATGCAGACCAGGGACCATATTTTGCCAATCCCTGCTCTAGCTGGTTCTCAGTAGCAAATATAGCTGATTAGTGATCGGGACTGTTAGCCCTACTCTCGGTGTCCTCTGGATATCTCAGTCAATCTCTGATGGAAATAGCTCCCAGCTGATTCCACGCTGGCTGGGGAATTAGATGTCACTTTGAATTCTATTACCTTGAACAAATCATTAATACTTCTTTTTTTAATATACTGTTGAGTGAAATAAATGACTTTCTGCAGAAAGTTTGTGTACAAGAGAGGGAGATACTAATGTAAAATAAGGGAGTTCCTATCCATGTAAAAGATGTATTAAAGAATGAGGCCGAACCGCTGCCAATGTGGCATGATGTAATATTTCAGAGGCATATAGCTAAGGAAGCAAATGTTGTCTAGACAATTTAATTGACCATTAAATAGTAGTAAGTATTCATATGAAAGGGACACTGTCAACTTAAGTATCACACTTTTGTGTATTGTTGCAATTACGATCTAACATTAGAGTAACATATTTTTCTTGACAGTATATTGTTTATAGTGGGCATCATATTTCCCCTATGGCATTCTTTGGGTCTTTTACATAGCAGCAAACTGCTTATAACTAATTTCTTTTAAAACTAACTAGATTGTAGGTTCTACTGATTAATGAGCTACTGTTAATCAGAATAGATTGGTTTTTCTTTAGATTTCAAGTTTCAAATTTCTCTGGTTAAAGAGCATGTCTGCTATTGTACAGTACTACACACAGTTTGTGATTAAGACTACAAATATTTGCAGCCTTTATTTGAAAATATTTGATAGCTCTAGATAGGAAGTGAAGTATTCTGATACCCTAATATAGATAGAGGTTTGAATTGAAAATACAACATAACTTTATAAAAGCATTCAATTATAAATCTAGCAATTTAAAAACAATTTCCTTCTTGATATAAAGCTGGATCCAGATCGCAGTCTCTTTGATCAAGGAGTAAAGACAGATGGAACGGTCCAGCTTAGTGTACAAGTAATATCCCGGCAAGGTAAGCAGTTAAGCATTTTATTTGCTAAAATGCAAGGTAAGCCATATTGTAAGTATATTTACGTTCATGCATTATCATTTTTAACTAGCATTAAAAATATAACTATTATTCATGCTTAGGGCCTTAGCAAATTTATGATCCATTTTGGCCAATTTCACGGTAATAAGATTTTTTTTTATAAAAAAATTCATTATGTCAACTACTTAAATCTGAAGTCTCACAGTATTCTAAGGAGTTGTGTGGGGGTTGCAAGGTTATTGTGTGGGGGAGAGGGGTTGCAGTGCTGTCCATGGTCTGAACAGCACTGCTCTCAGCTCTGTCCCTTCGCCAGAGGCCCTGTCCCTTCTGGGAGCTTGGAGCCGGCGCACAGCCCTCCATTCACAGGCACCTTGCCCAGGAGCTGAGCATGGTTGTTGACTCCCCCACCCATGATCCAAAGTCAGCTGACTCAGGCTAGCTACAGCCTTGCTGCAGGCCTTTATTGCAATGTAGATGTACCTTTATAGGTTATCTTAAAATGATGCTAGCCAAAGCATGTGTAATTATTTCAAAGGCACTTTTAAAATAACCAGTTTTTGAAGAATGAAAGTGGTACCTTTTTTTTTTTTTTTAAACCTAATATAGTTTCTTCATAAGACAAGTGTTCCTTAGGTATACGTACAGATCTGTTGAATAGGAGCGTGTGGGTTTATATAAATATTTGAATTTGAAGCACATTGAATTGTGGATTGACAGGACATAGTTATTTTTATGTTCACTTTACTAAATTCTTAGTGTGTGCTAAGTAGAGATGTTAAAACACATTTACTTTAATAAAAGCATAACGTCTGAAAATATCAGGGATTGCACATTTACACGGGGGGAGGTGGCTCCCAAGGAGCTACTGCACACAGGCAGCTGGCTTTTAAGCCAGCTTCCCATGTACACTGGCTCCTGGGGAGCTGCCTCCTTACCTGCCCTTCCCCCTAACATCACTTTGGTGCTGCTGGCTCTGTAACAGAGGCAGCAGCACTGAGGGACAGGCTGCATGTAACCATGAAGTTTAACCAATGAGTCCATGCTCACCAGTTGTCCATTTACATGTGTTCACTTTTATATTCCTAATACTCAGTGAAGATTGAGGAGAAATATCACATTGAGTGTGCTGTCCTTGATAGCATGTCTTCTGAAAATGTGATGCTAACTGTGAATGCATTGGTGTTTTCTGTATCTGAGTCTTAGCATGTAGCAATAATTGTATGTAGCAATAATTTTTGCAGGGGGGCCACTTCATGAATTTTGGTACATGGACACAGGCCAGCTCTGGGCTCCCTGGAGGGGCAGGGCCTCAGGCGGAAGGGGGCTACAGAGAGAGAGAGAAACTCTGTGTGAGACAGACTTTGTGGAAGAGTGTGTGTGACAGTGTGTCTGTGACAATGACTCTGTATGTGTGGCACAAAACGTTTGTGACAGTGACAGAGTGCTGGTTGCTGCTGGGTAAGTTTGAGAGAAACCATGCCTGTCTTTAAGATAGGGAAAGCTGTCCTGCTCTAGTGTCTCCCTCCTCCTCTGCTCTGCAAATATGGGTACGGGGGAGAAGGGGAGGAGAGTGTGCAAGTGTGTGTGAGAGCCCAAGCGCTGAAGTCTTAGAAACAGTGCACTGCCTCATAAGACAGACACTCCTCTGGGTCACTTACCATCCATGCTTCAGATTGGAGCAGCTCCATTATGTGTCTCCCTCTCCTCGACTCCAGCTCTGCAGAGATGGGGTAGAGGGGCAGGGAGATGTCCTGACTTCAGCATTCTCTCCTCTATTGCCCCACTTCCCCCACCCCCACATTGCACAGCTAGCAGGAGAGTCCTGGGAGCAGCTCAGCTGCAGGACTGAATAAGGTGGCAGAGGGGCAGCTGAACACATGTTGCCGGCTGTAAGTATACACTCTCTGCTAGTCAGTTGGACAGGCTCTAGAGAAATGTTGGGCGGGCTGCATCTGGCCTGGGGGCTGGATTTTGCCCATCCCTGTAGTAACAGTATGTTGGGCGAGATATAAATGAAACCTGTAATGCTTTTGCAATGCTCAAAGATAATATATTTTGTCTTATGTGTTTTCCTCCATATCTAGGAATAGAGCCCAAGTTAAACATCCTTGAAATTGTAAAACCCGTGGAAACTGTTGAGGTAGTTATCGATCCAGATGCCCACCATGGTGAAGCTGAAGCTCACCTTGTTGAGGAAGCCCAAGTGATAACCCTAGATGGCACAAAACACATTACAACAATTTCTGATGAGACCTCTGAGCAAGTGACTCGATGGGCTGCAGCATTGGAAGGCTACAGAAAGGAGCAAGAACGCCTTGGAATACCTTATGGTAATAAAATGCACTTACTTTCAATTGCAATGAGAATCATTTGATGATTATATGTTATAAGGACCTCATTTATTAAAGTGCTCTCCTACTAGTAAAAGATTTGTTTGAAAAGCCACACTTACATTCAAATATTTAATTTTTAAGTTACAAAAATCTTTTCAAAAGAGGGTCATCATGGAATAAACTAATTGTGCTTGCATTATAGTGTATGTAATGTCTATAGATTTGTTCTGGGAGCTAAATTGGAACTTTTTCTTGATACCTATATTACACTTGAACCCTGGACTCTACAGGTGAAAAATGGATATGATAAAGCATTGTGTTATACTCTCCAGTGTTATTCACTGTATCAACTTGCAATACGTAAACAGACTCCCAGAAACTTGCTGCTTTATTTGTCTTGTTGAAGAAGACAAAGTGATAATTCAAGATGGTACAAAACACATCACAACAATTTCAGATTGTTTGCCCTTTCTTGCCATTGTTTGGTTTTGGTACTTGGAAAGAGAGAAATTCAGTCACAGATATACAAGGGAATACTATAGTGAATATCTTTTGAAATTTCATAGCATGCAAGAAGAGAAGTTACATCCTTCAACATAATACTAAAAACATTTAGTGTTGAATTACAAGAGTTTCTTAAACTTTATACATATGTTAGTATTCAAACATTCCTTTTTCAAAGAAGAAAATCATCATTGAAGTTACAGTGGTGACACATTGACAAAGGTTTACAATTGTTTTCCATATATAGGTGAGAAATACATATAAAACTAAGTTGGCTTCTTCCTGACCAAAGCATATAGATATTTTGAAATTACCTCCTTTTGGTAGTAGGGATGTAAGCAACTAGTTGACTACCCGGTACACGTAGGCTTATCAGGTAGTCGAGTCACTACTCAACTAGTCGCTCTCCTCCCCTTCCCCCCGATATAGAGGCAGCAAGGGAGGGAGCAGGAGCCAGTGCTAGGGGGAGCTGTCTTAAAAGCCAGTTCCACCCAGCACCATCACCACAGGGGAGGTTAGGCAGAGATGCAATGGAGCACCCGGGATGAGCGGGTACTCAATGATAAGGATGTTAAGTAACAAATAATTGACTAGTTGAGTAATCAATGGAATTTCCATTGACTAGTGGATAGGCACTTCCACATTCTTCCTTTGACATGTACAAGAGCCTCCGGTGGGGCTCTTGTACATATCAAAGGAGGAATGTGGAAGTTCCTATTGACTAGTCAAATTGTTGATGGAAATCCCAGAATATGAAGCTACACTGAAAGATCAAATATTTAATATTAAAATATTAAAAGATAATATATTTCAAATATTCTTTGATAGCTTTGTAAAGTTGTTTTCTATAGCTTGGAATTTCCCTTTTGTTGTTTCCTCAAGAGTCCCCAGCAGGCTCCATGCACTGCAGCACCACATAGTTGATCCCAGGCTCAGCTGTGTGGCGCTGCCCCTTTGAAACACCCCTTTTTTTCCCCCTCCCCCCTTTGCTGCCTCTATCTGATAAAGGCAGCAAGGTGGGGGGGAAATCGACTAGTCCTTAATATCCTTAATACTCAATCAGTCCGAGCTCGCGCCGGGTCCAAGTGCTGTGCCTCTGCCTTTTAAATGTGGTATGGTCCCCACAGGAAATGCCATCAACTACTCAATTAGCTGATTAATCGAAATTTAACATCCTTACTTGTAGTAGAAAAGTCTTAATAAAGTGAATACTAAAAAGGATAGTTTTTAAAAAACATATCAGATTTTCCTGACTTCATAGAATTCAAGAGAAAGGAGGCACATGAGGATCTTTTGTTTTCTGAATGCCTTGTTGGTGTTTTATAATAATATATGCCTCTCTAGTTTTTTGTAAATGAATTTTCTTATGATTCCCCCATAGATGAGATTTCAGGTTTTTTGCCTGGCCTTTCTATAAATATTAGGGATGTTAGTGTGTACTTGTTTACATAATTAACGAATAAACCTGAGTTATCGGTTGATGGCTCCCATGATGCTGCCTGCCCTTCCCACCCCCTCAACCCTTGCTGCCTCCCTCAGAGGCAGCAGCATGGGGGAGCAGGCACCAGCCAGCTTTTAAGATGGCTCTTGGCACATGCCAGTTTCCGTGGAGCCACCACCTTCCCTCCACTGCCTCACACAGAGGCAGCAGTGTGGAGGGGCATGCAAGAGGGCTCCCACTTTCCCCCAGTGTATAAATATGTAACTGCTCGAAAATTCAGCAGTTACATGTTTACAAAAATGTTTAACATCCCTAATAAATGTGTGTAAATTGTGGTTCTGCTGGGAGTTGATTTTTTTCAACTCCCATCAATGCTTTTTGAAATAATGTGCCTCTCTTGAGAATCCCGCAAGTTTTGCAACAGTGAGAATTGGAACTTGGAGAAAAAACAAACCCTGGTGTATAGTGATATTGCAGACTCTTTTCCTCTCCATTATCTGTTCTGGCTAGTAAGCTAAACAACTGACCATCTTCCAGGATTTTTCCATCCTTTAACATCTCTCTTCTGTTCTTCCAGTTTTATTTTTGTCTCAAAGAAACAAAGTGTCCTACACAGCTGTTTCTGGCTGTCATTTCCTCCTTCAGGTTGTTTTTGCTGGAAGCATGGAACAATCAGAAAATACTAAATCAAGGGAAAAAATGACCCAACTGCTTTTTGGAACCACAGTTTATCAATAGATATCTTAAGTTCATTGTATTTTCACATACTCTGTGAAGCCAAAATTATTACAGGAGACAAGGCAGCAACTGAAGTAGATAATTTTTGATGTTGTGGCAGACAGCTTACCTAACTCTTTTAAGAAACAAGCTTATTGTCTGGAACAGAGGATGTTCTTTGTGACTTCCAGGAGTTAGGGTTAGAACTCCCACCACTAGTGTGCTACAAATGCAAAGTTAGCTCTTTAAAACAACATTTTTAGAACTCTGGCACTGTTCATTTCTCAGTGTTGCATTTTGGTAGATGTGCCAGTGGTTCTAGCTTCAGAACTGTTTAATCGAAAGGTTTCTGCTGACTGAGTGTAAGATCCAGACCCTGCCAGAAAGAGTTGCATGATCTATGGGAGTGACCACTAAAGCACGTTTCTCAGCCATGGAACTCCAAAGCCTCTTAGGAAACCAGATAAGAAAAAGCAAAAATCATATCTTAGGGGAGGAGATGAGGAGAGAACCTTCCTGAAAACTTCTATTTCGAAAATCACAAACTGTATCTATGCATTGCATATTGCCAAGTTGTTTTTTTGTTGGGGCTTCCCAGAAGTTAGATTATCCTCCAAAACCCAAGAGAGCTTAACAACTTTCTTAGCCCACGGTATATTCCACAGTTAAGGTGTGCTCACAGAAGGCATTATTATGGAGTATAGTGTTAGCCTAAAGAAGCTATACAATATGACAATAGGTACAGGGGAAAAATTAATCCTGCATGTGAAACAATTTTTGACAGGTATTTGTTCTAACTGTTCACCCAGATTGGCCTAGTTACAACAAGGCAAAACAAATATCTATCCTTTTTCAAAAAAAGTTAGGAAGCTTAATGACGTTTATTAGAACTCTAGCTAGTCACCAGTATCCCTGGTTGCACACAATGTTACTGATCTAACATTTGGGGAAGGAGATCCCATCCCAACATACAGAAATCTAATGTTTAATATTAGAAGGAATAAAACAAAATTGCTAGAGAGAGCAGTAGAGGGCTTAAATCTTCAGAAGTGGTAAAAAGAAGTGGTGATCCAAGTGAGACACTTGACTTGTACTCCAGATACTGCACTGTCTCAGGCAAAGCCATAGAAAGCAAATTAGCAGGTCCATAGGAGTAGTTTGAGTAGCATCTTGAGAATCGGCATTTTATTTGTATTGTGGCTTTCCACACCATCCACTCTCTTCCCTTTTGTTTCTCAATGCATAGAATGTGTGGTATAGTTTTATACGCCGTTAACGAAAATGTAATTAGGTCTTTTTAAATGTAACAACTCATTGATATGCTTGGTTGGTCATACTTATTTTAATTATATGGAAAAGTGTTTCCTCTCTGGTTCTTTTTATTGTTACTGATTATAGGGAATGGTTTTATAATGTCTAAAATAGACAGTGACACAACCTTTTATCAGTTGTATAATATATTTCTCTTCTTTTTTTCCTAGACCCTGTACAGTGGTCAACAGACCAAGTACTCCACTGGGTGGTATGGGTGATGAAGGAATTCAGCATGACTGACATAGACCTCAATACTCTTAGTATTCCAGGCCGAGAGTTATGTAGCCTCAATCAAGAGGACTTCTTCCAGAGAGTCCCTCGTGGAGAAATCCTTTGGAGCCACCTGGAGCTTCTTCGAAAATGTATGTGAGCTTTCTCAATGGCTGATTTAGTTACTGTTTTTGTGTGTGGAAAGATAAGGACAGTTGTGAACAGCCCAAATTGTTTTCCCACTTTCCATTAGCAGTGAAAGGGAGGGTGTCAAATACAAGATAAGCGAATACTAAGGGATGGTGCCCCCTGCTCACTACGCTCGCCAACCCCCTCTCGGGGGGTAGGCAGCCCCGGTTGCCGGGGAGGGCCAAGGCGTGGCAATCGGCCAGCTGCCGGGGTGGAGGCGGAATGGTTGAGCCAGGCTGAGGCTACGGCTAGTCCGGCTTGCTCCCTCTGGCTGATGGGGGGTTGGGCTAAGCCTGACTCCCTCTCTCTTCCTCCAGTCGCGAGGGGAGAGGTCTCATGGCTTGCAGCCCTCCAACCTCTCTCCCAGCTGCGCCAAGCACTGTGCTCTTCTACCTCGCCCAGACCCCTTGCCCTCTCCCTGCCCCAGAGAGTGGGGGAGGGGCGAGGCCCAGGTCCTGTGCTCTCTGCAGGCTCCTCGCCCTCTGCCCCTGGCAGCCAGGAGGGGGGAGGTGAGGCCCAGGCCGGAGGACCACAATTTACTGCCAGGGTTTTAAACTGAGGCGCTCCAGCAGTGGGGGAAGGGGCTATTCCCCCAGTCCTGGCCCCTCCTCCTGTAATGGACCTCTCCCATGGTCCCTGTTTCTCCTCCCTCCCAGACCTTCCTGAATTTTAAGTGTAGGGTCTAGGAGGGGGCTCAAGGAAGGGGGGGGGAGTACTGGGGTGAGGGAGTGCAGGAATCAGGGCAGGAGCTTGGGGATGTGGGGGAGCTCAGAGCAGTGGTGTGGGATGAGGAGAGGCTCAGAGCAGCAGGCTGGGGTATGTGGGGTGCAGGAGTCAGGTTTGGAGTTCTGTATGGGGAACGGGGGAATGTGCGTAGGGCGGTAGGCAGGGGGGCTGAAGCCTCCCGCCGCCCCCCCCCGAGATACATACCGGGGCTGTTTGCTCTTCCCCTTCCTGTCACGGTCAGGGAGCGAGAGCAAAGTGCACAACTCCCTAGTCCCCTGCTGTTACAATTTATGAAGCGTTCTTGAAAAAACAGATGACTCAAATATACAGTAGATAGATACAGAATATAGTTGCAGTTTCTTGTATACGTGAAAGGTACTAAGCTAATTCTTGAGAACAGTGGTTACCAGCGGCTGGTTCACAGACCAGTGCTGGGCCACGAACTGCTGGCTACTGGGTCATAGCACACTGCCAAGCCATGCCCCCATGTCTTGATGATTGGCTCGGTGGGGTCAGTGTAAGCTGTGGCAACATTGCCATGCAGCTGCTAATTGAGTTACTGTGCTGTAACTGGAGCTCAGGCTGTGGTGAGGCTCTTCCTACTGGGGCGACCCTGGTTCCAGCTCCTGCAGCTGCTACGTAGCCCAGTTGGTAGGCCACGTGGAGGGCAGCTGATCCAGCAGCCAGCGCTGCATGGAGGGCTGCTGCAGCTGGAGGAGAAACTTCCAGGTGCCCCAAGGCCAATCTCCTGCCCCTTTTCTCGTGTGGGAGGAGAGACCAAGGAATCAGCCACCCTGCGAGCCCTCTTTCCTCCCGCCCACGTTGGTGCTGCTGGGCGGACCTTATTCCCTTCTTGATCAGCAGGAGCCTCCCTCTGGCCTCCAGCTGTTCCCAGTCCAGCCAGCATGTACACACAAGGACCTGCTGCCTTGCCACTGGCGGGGGGCGGCTGGGGCTAAGCAGAGGCCGCCACTACCCAGGCGGCTGGGGTGGGGTGAGGTGAAGCGACAAGGTGGGAGAAGCCCTTCAGGCTGGTGTCAGCACCCCACTGCTTTCAGACCAGCCTCTCCCCAGTTGTTTTCCTCTTTCACTCACACTTCTCGCTACCTTCTTCCCCTTCCTTTCCCTTCTTTTTCATCTTCTCCCCGGTTCCCTTATTGGTTGCATACCAATGCAATGTAAAATGAATATTCAAATGTTTCCAAGACAGAGACGTAGTGGGGGAACTGGGCACAAGCCAGGAATCAGCTGATTCCCAGCTCATGTTTGGTCCCCGTTATTGTGCCTTTGCTTCCCCTGCCCCCTACAGAGACGGTGCTGAGGGAAATCAACTTTTAAGCTGGCTCCCCCAAGCGCTGGCTCCCCCAAGCGCTGGCTCCTGCTTCTCCCCCTCCCCCACCTGCCGCCTCTCTCTGAGTCACTACTTACACAATAAGCATATGCATATGCATTCAATTGACTTATTAGGGTAATGATTCAATTGACTTATTAGGGTAATGATTTGAATAAAGATTTAAATATTTTTCTTTTACTTGGCAGATGTATTGGCCAGTCAAGAACACTCTGGAGAAATAGCTACAGTTACTATTGATCAGCGTGAGTAGTCATACCAGTAGATTAAGACAGGTGCTTGTCAATAAGGAATTTGGGTTCAGCACTCATGCTACTAAAAAGTCAGAGAAGCCACAGAGAAATAGTATCTCTTTTGCATGTTTTTGAATTTTGAAAGCAGCGCTTCATTTTTTTAGCCAATTTAAGAATTTAATCAGAATTATAAATGTTTCTAATTTTTTTATGATGATCAATAAAGTTTTCCATTAGTCTGCACCATAATATGATGCACGTGAAATATTTGTAATACCAGGTGTTCAGAACTGCATTCTTGGAATATGTATCAGAAATACTTCTTTAAAAACGCAGAACTTAACATATATAATACAGTGTTAACACCAATGACATTTTATATGGTAGCAATGATTTTAAATTATTCTTAAGGTGAAGGTTTATGAATATCCATGTGACTCGTTAGAGGGAAAATAATTTGAACGTTAATATTGGGGGTGTGTGGACACACACTTCCTAGAACAGTGGTTCCCAAACTTTTCGGCATCACGCCCCCTTTTTGATTTTTGAGAAACCCTCATGCTTCCCCTCCCTTCCCCCCCCCTCCAAAATAGCAGCAAAACTTGTTGAGCAAAAAAAAGGAACTGACCGGGGCTGAAAAAGGACCTGTGTGTGTTTTAAAAAAAAAAAAGGTGCCGGTACTCCAGGGAAAAAGTTGTTGACCCTCTTTCTCCCCACCCTCTCCAAATGTTGCCCTTTAAAGGGGCCATTTTGAAGTCTGCCCGGGATGCCTTCCCCAGCCAGCCCAAGCTGTGCATGTTCCGGCAGACGCCCAAGCCAGAAAAAACAGAAAATACCAGACATTTCACGTGGTATTTTCTGAATTTTTTCACCGAACGGACCGGGCTCTTTCTTGGGAGGGGTGGGGGAGAGGGCCTGGGTCGCCTCGCACCCCCCTTTGGAATTTCTTCACGCCCCTCATTTTGGGAACCTATGCTTTAGAACCTCAGAGTTATGAACTTCAGACTTATGAACTGATCACATGATTTGGAACCAGAAATACACAATCAGGCAGCAAACTTCTCCCCCCCCCCCCCCCCCAAAAGCAAATATTGTATAATAATGTGTTAAATGTAAACAACTAAAAAAGATAAAGTTTTTTAAGAGTCCCCTGCTGACTCCGGGCTCCATGCAGCGCTGCTGCTGTGAAATGCCACGTGGAGCATTTGCTTATCGGATAGTCTACGAGTCCTTTCACACATGTACATAGTAAAGATGTTATCTGTGTACACCTGCATGCGCCCACCATTATTTGTACCAACAAGTTATAATTATTTTTCTTCAATGTTTAATGCTTCACAGCTGTGCAAATTATTCCAGCATCTGTACAGCCTGCTACCCCAACCACCATTAAAGTAATAAATAGCAGTGCAAAGGCAGCTAAAGTACAGAGAGCACCAAGAATCTCGGGAGAAGACAGAAGTTCACCTGGGAACAGAACAGGTGTTTTCACAATTTTACTTTAATCTAATTGCTATAAATATTTAACTGTTAAATCACATGGTGAATTTACAGCATGTAGCTGTATCCCTTTAAGATACGATTTTGCCATATTTTGTAAGT